AGTAAATGTCTTTATGTTTCATTATGAAACAGGGAAGTATGATATAAGCTTTCTATCAAAGAGAATTTACTGTCAAAATTCCAGAAGCAATGACAAGAATGGGAGTGCTCCTAATGAATTTTGAGTTATGCCTCAATCTTGGACAATTTAGAAGTCCTTCACATCCTTACATGATGATCAGTCTCATGTGTCAAGCATGTGACTATGTGAGCAGCTACCTAATTTATTAGCAAGGGCTAATGCTTGACTATACATGCAGTCGTTTGTATGTTGTCTTCATTTGACTTTTGTTTTTTACAAGAATAAGTTATGTTTCTCTGTAAACATTATTTTTTCGGCCCTTATTGGTGTGATCGTGAGGATGTTCCAACGGAAAAGTTTAATATCCGGCTGATGGATATTACTAATTCACCATTTCATGGTTAAATAATTAGATAGTATGTATTCACTATTTCAACTATGCTAATAAAATGTCTTCTTAGTTTATCGGTTACAAATTCCAGTGATGAAGAGGTTATACATACCTTGGCTTGATTAGTGTTGTTCAATGAAGCACGTTTGCATACTAAACTCACTACAATACCAACCATCCACTCCTCAAAAGCAAAAGAAGAACATGTCATATATTTCAGTGTGCAAATATTTTTTTTTCTAATCATGTTAACATGCCCGCAAGGTGGTAGGCGAGTGGTAGGGCGAAGTCCGGAATTGAGGGTGAAATCTCCGAACCCGGGTTCGATCTTCCTCCCTCGCTGTTATCAACACTTTGTTGGGAAGTCTGGGCTTGGGCTTCGGTCCAGGCAGTTTACCTGGTAGTCTGGTAACAGGCGATCCAGCTACCCCCGTGCATTAGTCGGAAAGCATTCCAAACTCGTATCAGGCAGTGTGGTAGCCCATCCTTCAAGGTGGTAGTGAGTCCACTCTGTAGCACTCCGGTGCGTTCCTGTAGAGGCTGACCAGATCAGCCGATCGGGTATATCAAAAAAAAAAAGATCATGTTAACATGAAGTAGGAACTTCTTGAGGTTGCAACGGCATGGAAATACAAGTAACAGTATAATTTGATTATTTGGTTTCTAGAATTAATTTGTAATAAATTTCTTTTGCTTTTTGTTAACCTCCATTTTATCTTCGTAATATATTTCAGTGTGCAAATATTTTTTTTTCTAATCATGTTAACATGGTTCATTGATATTAATTGTAGTAAATGTAAAATGAAGTTTAGAGTTTGAATTTAATAAAAATACGGAAACTATTTTTTTTTCAACAATAGAAAAACTATTCTAATTAAGTAATTAGAATCATTCAAAAAACAATTTGGCCGTACGTAGTACGGGATTTAATACTAGTACTATTATATTCTGCCATTACGCAAAATAGATCTAACAACATATATTTCAAAATAATCTCATTCTGCGATGTTTTATTATGCAAAGTTTTCATTATGCGAGTTTTATCCTGCAACTTGCAATTTTTGATATGAATTTTTTTAATCATTTGTTTGGGTTATGGTTCTTGTCGAACTGACCGTCCATTTTTCTGATTTCTTTATCTTCATTCATATCAAGGAAATATTGTAGTTTCCAAGTTGATGTAGATTCCAATCTTTTTGTAATAATAAGGCATAAGGAATTCGAATCTCTCGAATGGTGACAAACCGTGATATTGAAGAAAATATCTCACTAAAATCAACTCTTGTGATTTGGTTATTCTATAGCCACCAATCTCCCCATCCACTTTTATTACTTGCTGTTCAAAAAAATATTTTGATAGCTCTCTATGAAACATTTATTGTAAAACAAATTTTTTGTTTGAATATACACTTTACATTCTTTCTCAAAAAAAAAAAGATATGAAAATATTTAATATTCAGCATGTAATCTATTTACAAAATTCATGTATTGTTTCGTCATGACTTTTAGACAATCCTGACAATACCAACCCCACCTCTTCAATCTCACTTAGCAGCAAGTCAACTCTAGTAGCAAGTCCATAATTCGTTTCCAAGTCTAAAATTTTGCTTTCGTTACTATTTATTTCAACAAAGAACCATCAACTTGTACTTTATTATCTCTTATAGTTTCACAAAAATGTAAAAAGAGAAAAATAAACAAAGACATAACAACTAGAAATAAGAGGAAATCAAGAACGGATGTATCTTTCTTTGTCATTCAAAGAACAAGCACTCTCCTTCTTTCTCTAATCGTAGTTTACGAACAAGCACTCTCCTTCTTTCTCTAATCGTAGTTTACGGGAAAATAAATAACATCCATATCATGTTTCATGCCAGCCACATTAACCACGCAATTTTTCCACTATATAAATATTAGGTTACTCTATTTACTAATACTTGTTTTTTTTTTTTTTCGCCACTAATACTTGTTTTAATTACGATTCAAAAACACTAAAAAGCTACAGTGTCATTTCCTCCCATATCAGAAAATTTAAATTTAATTTTTTTTATGACATCAAAAGATCTAACGTTTTTTTTTTTTTTTTGTCACACGAGTGTAAGTGTGTAACATTAGTATAGACCGACAAAAATTCCACATATTTGATGACGTCATCATAATTCCTTACTAATACATAACCAACTTCGTCTCTTCATCTCTACTAACAATTAGCAACAAAATAAAAGCACACGAATTTTCAAATCTTTCTCTGGCTCTTTCGAATTCTTCTCTCTGTTTCTTGTAGATCCTTCTGTTTCCGTTTTGTTTTATCGCATCTGAAGATCTCTCTGGTATCGAAAAATGGGTGAGAACGCCATATCAGGTTCGTTTCGAAATCTTTCTTTCTTTTGTTCTTGATCTGTCGCTGTCGAATGATCTTTATAAAGCTGGATTTGAGTTGGGTTTTCGTTTTCCTTGGAATTAAGTATCTGGGTTTGATTGTTTTGCCTTAAAGTTTTGTTCTTTGATCATATATCTTCTTGGGTTTTGTTCTATGGATCTCTCTGTTTGTTTCTGCGGAAGAACGAAATCTGTGCATGCGTCAAGTCTTTTTATCTTGTGTTATCGTTGATTGACAAAATCGAGGAACTTTAGAGTTATTAGAATTCGAATTTTTTATTTTCATGTCTCTTTTGGTAATAGGTAATCTCAAGAATCTAACGATCGACACAAGAGATTCAGAAACTCTTGTGGTATGTTTCGGTGAAATGTTGATTGATTTTGTTCCAACGGTGGGAGGTGTTTCACTCGCTGAAGCACCAGCTTTCAAGAAAGCTCCTGGAGGAGCTCCTGCAAATGTAGCTGTTGGTGTCTCTAGACTTGGTGGTTCGTCTGCTTTTATTGGAAAGGTCTGAGATTTTTGCTTCAGAATTGATGATCAATCTAAGGTTTTTTGTTTTGGATCCAATCTTAGTTTCGGTTTGGTTTGAAAAACTCAGGTTGGTGATGATGAGTTTGGAAGAATGTTAGCTGATATTCTAAGGCTTAACAATGTTGATAACTCCGGGATGAGATTCGACCACAATGCACGGACTGCTCTTGCGTTTGTTACACTAAGAGGTGATGGAGAGAGGGAGTTTTTGTTCTTCAGGCATCCGAGTGCTGATATGCTTCTTTTGGAATCTGAGCTTGACAAGAACCTCATCCAAAAGGTAGATTAGATTGTTTTCTCTTTTGATCCACATTTGGATCGAGACTAAGTCCACTGGTTTGTTTTTGTTTTAAGTACAGGCCAAGATCTTTCACTACGGATCTATCAGTTTGATTGAGGAACCTTGCCGTTCTACTCAGCTTGCAGCTATGAAAATCGCTAAATCCGCAGGGAGTCTTTTATCTTATGATCCGAATTTGAGATTGCCATTGTGGCCATCAGAAGAAGCTGCAAGGAAAGAGATCATGAGTATCTGGAATTTAGCTGATGTTATAAAGGTATATCTTTTTTTTACTGCCAATAAAGATCAGATCAGATGCATTCCTCGTACTTAAAAATGACACAAGTCTTGTTGAGTGTTTTCAGATTAGCGAGGACGAGATTACATTCCTGACCGGTGGTGATGATCCTTATGATGATGATGTGGTGTTGCAAAAGCTCTTTCATCCCAATCTTAAGCTTCTTGTTGTTTCAGAAGGACCTAATGGCTGTAGATACTACACTAAGGTTTACTTCTCTTTAGTTATTATATCTTCTTTCGATGTGTAATCGGTATTAGATTGCTTAGTCTTGTCGCTATATTGTATTGTAGGAGTTTAAAGGCAGAGTTGCTGGAGTAAAAGTGAAGCCAGTTGATACAACCGGTGCAGGAGATGCATTCGTGAGCGGGTTATTGAACAGCTTAGCTTCTGATATCACTATTCTCAAGGTACTTATTCATCTCTTTCATTTTACATTCCCTGGCTTTAAACTAGACTGAATCTGACTCATTGAGGTTACACTATGTGAAATGTCCAGGATGAGAAGAAACTAAGAGAGGCGCTTCTATTCGCAAACGCTTGTGGAGCCATTACGGTAACAGAGAGAGGTGCAATTCCGGCGATGCCAAGCATGGATGCTGTTCAAGATCTTCTGACTTCTTCTCGCTCCTAAAATGCTTCAAAAAGTCTCCTTTGAGTGTATCAATTCATTACCTTTTACTGTATTTTTTCCCCAATTTGTAGGAACTCAAGAATGTTGTGTGTGTTTTTAGTTTGTTGATCTATCCCGGAGTTTTAGTATTGGGGTGGTTTGGTTTTTATATCAAGTTAGGTTCTACAACGAAGAAATTCATGCTTTGTAAAACTACTTGCCGTTTTAATAAAACGAGAACGACACACGCTCATTAACCCAAAACATGAATTTGTTCGCTTCGAACTATTATTAATTGTTTATTCAAACCGGTTTACGGTTTACGAGGAGTTTCCCACAGATTCGCTGAAGTGAACGTGAGTAACACGTGACAAGTCAAACTTGATTGGGATTTGTGAAATTGTGAATGTAAGTGGGGGTAAAACAGACATTTTACAATATTGACGGCGTTAAGAAGGGAACGTTAAGTCATCGGTGGAAACTTAACGAACTTAAAACTTTTTCGTTATCACCGTCAAAATCAAAATCAAAATCCGGGACGATAATTCTCACGTTCTCTCCATCACCTTCCCTCGATCCAAACCAGAGCGAAGAGTGGGAACTACACGCGAATCATCATCATCATCATCTCTACGTAATGTGAATTTTGAATTCGAGGAAGAAGGCGAAATCGGAGCATTGTTGGATCGATTTTTGAAGTTCGGAGAAAGAAATGATGGCGTCGGATCCAAAACTCAAGGCTGAGATCGGAGCCGATGGTCTTGCAAGAGAAGCTCCTGTAATTGCTTACACAGAGAAGGTAAAACAGATAATCTCTGGATGTATTATCAGAACAAGTGTTGGTGTGATTCTCTTTTACTGATCGCGATTTGATGATTTTTGTATGAATCAGATAATCGAAGAAGAGCAAGTTCAGTTGAGGAAGTAAGTAAAATGATTTTTATTCTCAAACATGTTTGATCCCCCATAAATGTGTATCTTAGGAAAACTGAGATCTCTATCTATGAAGAATTTGAATGTAGTTGTATCATTCATTGGGAAGATGATGAAACTTGTTTGATGTTGTTGTAGATATATTGAGGAGAACTATACAAAGATTAGGGATGTTGAAAGGGAATTTGGAAACCTTACAATGGAATTGAAACTTACTGCTGGACCTAAGAAAGCAGGTTAGGGATTGTTAATTTTTTTTTTTTTACTCAATGTGATGTGGTTTATTGGTTTTGTTAAATGGAACAGCCTTGTTGATTTAAGTTTTTTTTCTTTTCTTCTATTGTCAAAACCTAAAGCAATGGAACACTTGCGAAAGAAAATCGAAGTCGCAACGGAAAAGATCCATGTTGCTAAGTTGAAAGAAGAAGAAGCTCGAAAGGTTTTCTTATCTCTCTCTTTGATTAATGTATCTCAATGTTTTTGCCTGTCTTGTTCTGTTTAACCTCACATGGCATGTAGAGTTAGTTATAGGTGGATGTGAACATTTCTGTTACCTGTTTGTGCCTCATAGCAGAATAAGTTATATGAATGGATATTTCAGATATCATGGTCTGATGATTAATTTCAAACATCACTGAGTAAACGAATGTTTTGCTAATCTTTCCTTTCGAAGTTCCAACTTTGTTGTTGGTTTTACTTTCCAATGCTAGAGAACCGCGTTTCATGTCGTGCTGTGACCTATGATTGTTTTGCCCTACCTTTGAAGTCTAGAGATTGTTAGTTAACCTCTTTTCTCTTATTAGGCATTTGAAGCAGCATCAAAAGTTGTAAAGGATGAAGAAGCAGCAAAACAGAGTCTTTGTGATGATTTAAACCGTCTGGTATGTATATCTGTTGAAAACTGATAACATGAATTAAATTTTTCCCATTGAGAGACATTTAAATCACAATCTTTTCTAAAATGTAATCATAGGTACAACAAAGCAGCAATACGCAGTACGCCAGACTTGAGGAATTAAAAAGAAGATTAGAAGCGCTGAATCCAAATAGATCATCTACTTCTGTTCAGCAAGTAAACAATCTCTTCTTCTAGTTAGCATTCCATCTGTTTCTAGTAATGTAACTTATTATAACTGTAGAGACACCAGATAATTCCTGCATGAGTATGTTGCTAACTACAGCTAATACTTTGCAAATGTTTACATGAATAATCAAATTGGCCATCAGTGGATACACGTAAAGATGTTTTTAATCTCTGATTGTGTTCCATATTTAGGTCCAAGAACCGGAGACTAAATCTGTAGTAGACAACTCACCAGCAGCCAATGCTAATCAGACTCACACGGAAAAACTAGATGGGAAGGAGGAGGGAGGTAAAGAACATGGACAGAGGCCAGCAACAGCTGAAGGAGAATCAAAAGCGAAAAAGAAACCACAGAATCAAGGAAAGGGAAGAGGAATTGGAATCATGAACAAAGGCAGAGGAGGTTGGACAGGTGCTGGATTCGATGTCGATGGTAGAACTTGAAATACACATATCTATTATAATACATATACCGAAAGCTGCCTTTTCAAATCAGAAGTATGTCAAATATTTTGTTACCAGGTACGTTCTATTCATCTTTTAACATCGATAAACCTGAACGTAGCCACAGAGACCCTCATTCTGTCATACACTTGTGTTACCGAAAAAAAAACCATTCAATCATATTTGGCTTTTCATTGATCATCTTGTGTGTGTCTCTCCAATTTTATGCAATGTGGTTGATCTAATAATCTGAAAGCAGTTGGATTTTGTTGTCTAATATGTTAAGAGTGTGGCTTGATTGGTAATGATATGGAGGACAAGTTTCATATGATTAGTAATCATAGAATTTATAGAGTTATAAAGATATGAATCGCAATTTGGGCTCTCTAGCTTGATCAAAATAAAAATTTGTAATCTCCTAAATTAACTGGAACTGATGGTAGATAAAGGTCAAAAGAGTAACAGTAAATCTTAATGCTTCCTTTTTCTCTTACTCTGTATAATAATAATATCAAATAATGTTTTATAGAAAAAAGTGAACCTGTGACCGATCTGTGTCAGGGGAGTCCACAAGTGGAACCCAGTTTTGACGTCATTCAAAATTTGTTGGATTAACAAAGTTTTTGTTATGTAATAAATCTTGAAATGTATAGACTTGGGCAAAATATTTGGATCCTAGATTTTATCCAATTCGAAAATTGGAAATTTATAATTTCTGGGATATGTGTAATTTGGTTTAAATCAGAATATAAAAGATTCTGTTAGATCTTATTCATACTCTATTAATTTAAAATATATTTGTATAAGATATTTATTATAATAGAAAGAAACTTCAAACTGTATAAAATAAATTATTTGTAAAATGGTTGGATATATTTTAAAAATGCCATTAATAGTGGGAAAATTGGAAAAAAGGATATCTACTTAAAAATTTGTCCATATATCCCTTTTTTTTGTAGATTGGTTAAATAGGTTTTTTAAAAATCAAAACCCAACTTTACCCTCATTCTCACTCAAAATTTATTTAAAAAATAAAACTTCATAAATAACTTTACAAAATTAAAATAAAAATAGAAAAAATCACAAAACCTCCAAATGAATAAGAGTCTTTCATAAGATCTAATAAAAGACTTGGGTTTTATTTTTTTTCTTATCGTAGACTATCTCTCTAGAATGTATTTATAATAAATTTGATATATGTTAATCACATTTATTTTTTACCGATTATCAGTTTCGAGTTAATCGTGCAAGCTACATGGGTTCAAAGCTAAACCTCCGACCATGTGATGATTTCATAATAGTCAAATTCATTTTACAATCCGTTGACACAGAATAATTATCAATTATATTATTCCATGATGTATCTATACAATAAACCTTCACTCTTTCTTATCATACAATCTCCACACACCACTCTTTATGTAGATGTGCATCTAGAAACTAAAGCACAAATCATTGAAGAAAAATGGGAGAATTTGAAGGAAAACATGTTCTTAGCTTTTTAGAAACGAAAGTGGTGGCTTAGCTTAAGGTTTAGAAACGTTTTTGGTTTTAACTTTTTCTAAAAAAACGTAGACAACGATTTCTACATTATTTAGATCGTAATCTAAACAATAAATATCCATTTAAATCGTAATCTACAATAAATATTTAGTTTCTTTTTCTGAAAATTTACTTTTTATATTTAGAGAATTCTAAAAATTTCAGAAAACCAAATCTACAATATCGTAGAATTTACATTCTAAAAGAAGATTACAATTTCTAACGATGGTAGAAGATGTAGTAATTAGTAGAATAGATATTCAAAAAAATTTAGAACATAGAGCAAAGCGTAGAATGCATGTTCTAAATATTTTAGATATATGATTGTCAGACTTCTAAAATTTTCAGAACAGAAAACTAGTCTAAAATATGTAGAACATGTACAAAAATATAGAATACACATTCTAACTTTCGTAGAACTCTAGAAAACGTGTTCTAACAAAATTAGAAGAAATTTTATCTATAAAAAAATCAACTTTTTTTCAACCAAATCTAAAAAATTTCACTTCAAATCATCTCTACTCTTGTATGTCTACCTGTTTTTCTAATTATATTTTTAATAAAATATTTTAAAAAGGATGTAGGGGTAATTTCGTTCAAAGTGACAATCTCACAAAAAAGGTGTATATGGACAAAAAATTTAGTAGACATCTTTTTTTTTCAATTTTCCCAATAGTGGTGTTCTAAAATCTCAATAAAAATCAATTTGGAAAAATATGATATGTTATTTTAGGGATGTGTTCTAATAGTTTTATTCAAATTCAGTTTTTTTTATATGATATTTTAATGCTTTAATCTTCAAAACTTCATATTTATATTATTTAAGTTCTCGGAAAATCCTGAAACTTCATAGTTATTAATAATATAAATTTAAGATTGTGGACTGAAAATCCTGAAATTTTTAAGAGTCCTCAAATTTATATTATTAATAAGTTTTTTTAAAAAATTTATTTCTTGTAGACGTAGTTAAACCTCAAAGTGTCATTTTCGCCTTTAATTTCCTACTCGTGGATCTTCATTTCTTTTTTTTTTGTTAAAGGATCTTCATTTCATATGGCAGTAAAGTAATGGTTTCATTTATAATGTCTGATCTTTCTCTAACTACCCTTTTGATTGCATTGCATGCTGTTTAATGTCTTTGTTTTTTGAGATAATTGGCTGGGAGACAATAAATCTTGGTCTAACTAGTTTTTCTACATTTCGTTTCAGAGTCCATAACAAAGAAAATTTTAGCCCACATTTGTTCCCAAACTAACCCCACGCGTCTGACGTTTCGTTTTGCTTTTAATTTTTGACTCTTACGATGTTTATTTCTCTTTCATGTTCATTTATCTCTTCTCTCTCAACTATGTTCTAATTAATTCATTCAAACCAAGTAGAAAAACACTAGCGTTTACTATTCACACTACCGTATCAGAGAATTATATAGTAGATCTATTCTCTGGAAGAGACAACTTTCACGAACAAATATGGATCTACAACCATTTTTGGATCTCAACAAATAGATCTGCAAAGCATTGATGCAGATCTAAGGAAAGTTGTGGAGATGAATCAATGAATTTAGATAGATTAACTAATAATAACAGTTCATGCATAGATAAACTAATAAGAAATTTTATGGTGAAAAGTAAGAAGACGATGAAGCATAGTCCATAGTCTATGCATGAAATAAATTTAGGGAAAAAAGTTCGAATTTCATCAAAATTTCACAAATAAATAGTAAGACATGCTGCCCTGCAAGTTTCATGTATCCCTTGATTAAATTTCTTAAATTTCGTAGCAACGTTTCTATGGAGATGGACGATAGAAACCCTATGAATTGCTTTTTGGGTATGTCTCAATTAGTTAAAGAATTAATAGTTAATTATAAATTTAGCTACATGTCCATACACTTTCTTAGAGTCATATATCAAACTATATAGTGCTAATTTATTAATAGATATCTACGTAATTAGGTTAGAGGTTTAAAATTATTAATTTCCACCCATACGTGTTCGTTATAGATTCAAATTTCAGAATTACGAAGACAATTGGACGGCTTGCATTTAATAATCGTTCCTCATTTTTTGTGTTGCCGTGTAAAGGTAATTTCACATGCAAAACATTTAAAAACTGTCATTTTATTCGTTCTCGTTACCAAAAGTCAATGGTGTTAATCACACGTGCATGATCAAGACACCAACTGGTTTTATTGTAATTCTTTCGAATTCAAAGCCCATATGTAACGATTATTTTTCTTTTGTTTGGGACCAAATCTACTATTTTCTTTTACATAATTACTTATCCCAATTTTGTCTCTGCACAAAATCACCCTTGTTTTTTTTGTCTTTACTTATACATTTGAAAATCCCATAAAACAAAGACTGATTTTTATTCAAAATAAAAGCATTAAATTAAACATATGATTGCGTTCCCTCATAATACACCATTTCCTTTTCTGACGAGAAATGAAGCACATGGTTCCAAATACTATACAAAATATCATAACAATAATGATGTCTCATTCATTAAATTTTTTTGATAACACAGTGAAACATATAAACATTAGGAATTGGTATATATTCAATTCAAAAGTTGTCGAAAACGCGAATATGGCGGGATTAGTAGGACCAAATTGTCGTGAAAACCCTGCAGTACAGTGATGAAACTTTTATCTTGATTTGCCGTCGACAATACTCTAAACACTGACTTGCCTATAAAACAACCATTCTACTATTGGGACACTGTTGTTTATAAGCAACAAGACAAATCATGCTTTGCCCCACGATCCTCCAAAACTTTATGTTATATAATGAAACAATGAATTATTTAGGTAAATTGTGGTCCCAAGAACTCGATTTCGACTGTGGTTGTGTAATGACTTCACTATGAGAAGGACTCTGATACACATATCCCTTTCTCTTCCTAGTGGGATTTTTTTTTTTTTTTTAATTTTTGAATTTAAGCAGCTTCTATCACTATCGCTTTCAAAAACTTCTTGATGTTTCGATCTTTTCTGAGGTCGATAGATTTGATTGATCCTCAAAACCCCCTAATTTATTAACATAGGGCCCTTACGTTTCATCGATTTTTAGTTACCAACTTACTCTAGATTATGGTAAATATTGATGGATTAGTGGTGTCGAATTCGTTAATGTACTCGGATTTGTGGTGTTACAATGTTACTAGATGAGAATTTGTCATCTATTTGATAAGAATCGCTTTTAAATTCAATCTTATAACATCTTAACAGAGCGCTCATACCTTTTCCAAAATGTTGATATATAAATTTGATGTTTTAGAAAGAAAAGATTGTCGTGTTAGACTATATCTTATATAATATGACAAGGTTTCTTCAAAACAATCTCTAAAAATGTGACATTTGGCGTTCTACTCTTTTGACACATGTCATTTTTAGTTTAAGTGCAATAAATCTGTTTATTTGATTTTTGAAAACAATAACCACAATAGTCCTTAATTCAAATTATAAAATAAAATTAAAATTATTTGATGATAAAATAGTTTAAGGATATTTTTGAATAAAGAGATATTTTTCCTACATTTTATCTTTTTCACATAATCTTATATAATATGACAAGGTTTCTTCAAAACAATCTCTAAAAATGTGACATTTGGCGTTCTACTCTTTTGACACATATCATTTTTAGTTTATTTTTTAATTTAAGTGCAATAAATCTGTTTATTTGATTTTTGAGAACAATAACCACAATAGTCCTTAATTCAAATTATAAAATAAAATTAAAATTATTTGATGATAAAATAGTTTAAGGATATTTTTGAATAAATAGATATTTTCCTACATTTTATCTTTTTCACATAATTATACAATATGAAAAGGTTTCTTCAAAACAATCTCTAAAAATGTGACATTTGGCGTTCTACTCTTTTGACACATGTCATTTTTAGTGTCATTTTTAGTGACATTTTTAATTTAAGTGCAATAAATCTGTTTATTTGATTTTTGAGAACAATAACCACAATAGTCCTTAATTCAAATTATAAAATAAAATAAAAATTATTTGATGATAAAATAGTTTAAGGATATTTTTGAATAAAGAGATATTTTCCTACATTTTATCTTTTTCACATAATTTATAGTAAAAAATAAAGATCAAATTATTAAGCGATAAAATAGATAATAAATATATTAATAAAATTGACTTTATCTATATCTTATTAAACCAAAAACATAATACATTTAATTCTTTAATCATATATATTAATCCACCTTTTAATACTAAATTGTAACCTAAATCATATAAATTGTGTATTAACATTTTTTCTCTATTCAATGGCATTCAAACACACTATTAACTATTATTGTAACTTCCATAATTTAATTATTTAAAAATGAATGTATTTTCTCATGGTAGAGGACTAGAGGTTACATTTAAAAATTAATTTACTATAATTTATTTCATATTTATAAGAATAGCACAATACGACATACCAATCTCAAATCTCAACATGAGAGACCTAACATCCATAAAAAAAAAAAATACCTGAGGTTTTGAGCGTAGATTTGTTTTTTTAAGTGCTATCTCTTCCTTTAATATGATGCTTTAAATTTAATTTTATTGGTTTCTAATCTTTTTTCCTTCATATGTAATTTTCTTTTGTTTTTTTATGTTATTTTTCTAAGTATATTTCAGTACATAATGTCATATGTTATTACGTTTATAATGGTAAGATATGATGTGTATATTTGAATTCTATAATTTTTGATCAGAAAATAAAGAAAATATTTCCTAATATATATATATATATATATATATATATATATATATATGTTTTGTGTATGTAGACTATACTGTTAAAAATATCTCTATATGGTGATGAATTTTGTTTAGCTAACAATTCTAAATAGGTGGCAAGTTTTCAAAATCACTAAATAAAATTTCAAATCTCATATAAAAATAGTTTTAAAAGTTATTTTACACATATATAAAAGTTGCTCTTTTTTTTGCCAACATGAATCATATTTTTCTTCTTCCTTTAAAATAAATTATTATGAAAAATTAATTTTCTGATTAATGCGGTATAAATTGAAAAAAAAATTAACAATATTCAACTTAGCAATTTTCAATAATTACTATGACATCTTATATATATATATATATATTTCTTTTTCCTCTTTACTGTCGTTTTAAAACCGAGAATTAACATATATAAGATATTCTAATATTTTTTTTAATCGATATGTGCCATATTTTTCTTAATTTTTTTTCTTTTCATTTTCAAATAAATAATGAACATCCTTACATCCTGTTATTAATAAATGATTTTTTTATTAATGAAGCATTAATTGTATAAATTACCTCCTAAGACCATCTCCAATGTAAATCTCAATATTTTACTCTAAAATAGAGCATGATTTCTCTCCAATGTATCACTTTATACCCTACTCTAAAATAGAGGTACTGTAAAAAAAAAAAAAAAAGAGTTCCTCTATATATAGAATAATCTTCTCTTTTACTCTATTTTAGAGTGAAAATAGAGAGTAGGGTTGGAGAGAATTGTGCTTTATGATAGAGTTTAGAGAAAAAAAAATAGAGTGGAGTTGGAGATGCTCTAATGATGTTTAAGTCGCCTACATTTTAAATCACTATTTCGACATTTTATATATTTTAAAATTAATATACCTAAATTTCTATTATTTTAAAGTAAACAGATAACATAAGGGAAAAAAGATAATATTGAATAAGCTCTTATAAAATCGATTTTTCAACACTTATGAATACTACCGTTTAAAATTATGACTACATATGCTTATAATTTCCTTTCTAATTTAAAGATTAATAGCTATGTGAACTAACTATTTACATAAACAATGAATAAATCAAATTATCAAAATGGATGCAAGAGATATAAATGATAATTTAACATAACATCCATGATATAAATAGGGTGATTTTGTAAACTACCATGTTTTTTAAGATAACAAAATATTATCTCAACTCTCTAATTTTTTTCACTCCTTGTCCACCGTCTTTTTTTTTTTTTTACACAAAGTCCTCTCATTATTTTCCCAATATCCCTGGAAATGTTAATTCACAAGCCTTTCAAATATATTGATAATGTTTTGTCAATTCATATGATTCATTTAAACATGTAAATTACAACTTTTTAAGTCATTGTAGAGAATAAATAAATTGGAAGATTTTTTTTGCTAATACTTTTAGTGAATAATATGGAAGATTTTTTTGTTAATACTTTCTTTATAATTAATACAAGTTCTAATATGTTTTAGGTTAAACTAATTTATTTTTCTTACGATAAAATATATTCAAACTATTCCCACGCATCGCGTGGGTCTTTTTCTAGTTATACATATTTTATAGTTACATCATTTTGTATGATCAAAAAATAACATTATACTTAATTCACTTTGTTTATCTTATGTAGAATTAATGTATAATTATTACATATAAATTTAAATAAATAATTTTTATAATAATAATTGAATAAAAGAAAGCAATCAGATTCTGAATATGTTACCATATTATCATGCTAATAAGATTTGAAAAGTAACTCTATTTAGTTAGATGATCTATTTATATTGGTAAGAATAACTTGTGTCAAAATGAGTATAACATATGTACATCTAACTAAGGTAAACAAAATCTTATATCAAACAATTTTTTTTGATATATATTAAATTTGATGCAAAATTTAGATGATATTAACTATTAAGGATATCATAATATCCATGATTGCTTGTGTCAAGGATCTATTTATGTACACTCGCATATTCTCATTAATCACTCTGTAATATCATGATCCCTGTATAAATACTCAATCTCTGTATTATTCTAAATCATCATATTTAACATCTTTAATAGTATCAGAGCATTATATGCTCCCAATGATTTGAAAATTCATCTATAAAAGAACCAGCAATTTTCGTTTCATTCACTAAGGAGATTTACAAAACATTTCATAGTAATTTATATTGTAGAGAAATTTATCAAAAGATGATGTCTTCGAAGTGTCATTTTGTTGCTCTTCTCTTGATCACTATTTCTCTCATTGTTAATGTTCAATCTACTCGTAAGTTTTTTTTTTCATACTAGAAAATAGCATATTTTCCAGTATATATAGTTATAATCAATTTTTCTAATATATATAATATCCTAAAAAACTTATAATAATTTTAAGTAATTAATATATTTATAATTTGTTTGATATAATATAACAGGGATTATGGATGATTCAAGCGATTGTGTATTCAAAGGACCATGTCAAAGGAGGTCAGATTGTTACAAAAGGTGTGGAGTGAAACCACCTTCTAGAACTGCTTTGTGTCAACCTATGGGACTCCACGGACTTGTATGTTGTTGTCTCTAAAAATCTGCAACTGAATATGATTGACAATATGTTCAAGGTTTGAAATAAAATATTATATCATCTAAATAATTACCCAATGTATTATTATTTTCATATTACATGTCTCAGTATGTATGCAAATCGAACTAGACAGTAAATATAAAATAAAACTTTGTATGACTGTATGAGATTATTATCTAAGAATGTTTTGATTTGCTTAAGACTTAAGCAACATGTTGTTAGGTAAACAGTTTATGTTATAGCTAGCTGGAAAGATGTTTGTAATTTAAATAAGATGTGTACCATACATATTACAATTTTCTTAAGTTTCCAACCTAATTTGGTAATATTAATGAATGTTTCAGAAATTTTCTGAACATGTTCGATAATTTTAACCAAGAAAAATAAATAACGACTTGTGTTCACTGATATTTTTGGGGTCGATTAAAAGTGCTACCCCAAATCAGGTTAGTCCAACTCTTAAAATATTATTGTGCTAACTGCTAAAAAAACAAATTTTGTGATGAGACTGGGCTAATCCACTTACGTTAAGTTAATTAGACTGTCAATTAATTTTGAAAATGCTAGTTACTAAATAACAATAAAAAGTTACATCAGCAAAATAAAAAATTTACATGTGTTAGATAAATAATTATGTTTTATTACACGGTTGGGTTGTTGAAATTCCCTTGGTCCAATATTTGATCAAGGTTAAATTAAAATTTATACACCAAATTTGTGCATGTAGAACTATTCATATATTATGGATTTGCATAACTGTTGATGAAGGTAATCTGTATACTATTCTTCTACATTTACAAGAATATATTATGTGAAACGCTCCCACATACTTGGTCGTTCTATAAATTGATTTGACATTTGAATTTGTATTTTCCTTTGCACCAATTAATCCCCAAAAACACTATTTGTCATGCCCTTGTAACTACTGTGATGGATAATAGTTGGACCGTTTCAAACATTTTATACATTCTAAAACAAAAAATACAGTCTTTATATGATTCTACTTTTAAGAGTATATTATAATATAAGAAATGTGATTTTCCACAGTTCAAAATTTCTTTCAAACCAATTAAAATTCTCGACAATTATTATTTTTTGCTAAAAAAATTAGTAGTTACAAAAATGAGTCTGGTCTCCATTTGTTTTACCAAATTATATTATTAAAAGAGTCATAGACTCTCTTAAAGTAGAGGCAATGTGGGGCTGCCTCTACTTGTATATGTGTAAAACACACATTTGGTTAATTGTGTAAGAACCTAATGATCTTGATAAAAAGCATGTGACTTAACATGACTATGAAAAAACAAACAAAGCTTTATATGAAAAGAAAAGTTCAACTTCCAATTCTATAGAGACTAGTGTAATAACTTGAACCAAATTATTTTTAGTAACATGATGGGGTTTCTAAAAGCGTGGAAAGATAATTTAAACTTAAGTTAAATGCAATCTAGACACAACTTTAATTATTGTCAACGCTCTCAAAACTCGTCATTAATACAATAGAATAGAATTATCATAATGTCCAGCTAAAGATAATTTTCTTTTATCCTTTTCATATACATACAATAATAGTATTCACTCCGTTTCAAAATATAAGCCGTTTTAACTAAAAGCACGTCGATTAAGAAGATCTACTTTTTAAAAGTTCAGTCAATCATAAAAGAGACTGCATAATAAAAATAATCATAAAATATTAAAGTAATATATAATTTGCATAGAAACTTGAAAACGACTTATATTTTGAAACAAAAAAGTTTCTTCAAAACGTCTTATATTTTGAAACGGAGGAAAAAGTACTTAGTAAAAAAGAGTTAAACGTGTAAAAAAAATGTCCCCCAAAGAAAACAAAAGGATCAGCCCAAAAAACCTCAAAAGACATAAATCCTAGAAAATACAAAGACATCGAAGGTCTACACAATAGTTGAAAATTGTGGTTATGTATGTGTGTATGCATTGTACATTAACCTAACTAACCATCTCGGTACCATGAAACAAACTGCTTACATATAGTGAGAACTGAGAATATTCTGTTACGTAAGCCAAAAATGAAAAAGAAAAAGGTTCACGAGTTTGAAAATCCCCAAGGGAAAAAATTTCAAAATTAAGTAGACAAAGAAGAGAGAGAGACTTGAATGATATTGTAAAACACTCAAGCTGTCTGATTGATTCCTAGAGAGAGATGTGTGGCCATCGTTATCTAATAACTCCTACTTACTAACTATTTTACAGTTTCATAAAATCCGTAATAATTACTATCTTCTTCTTTGAATCACATTTTCTGTCACATTAAATATTCTTCACCATCCTCATGTTCGATTCCCAATGTAAGAGAGAGAGAGAGAGAGAGAGAGAGAGAGAGAGAATTGCAGAGAAGATAGCTGCTTCCAACATCTCTTGTCTGGTAATTTAAAACTCAAGAACCAAAAACAGAAACTAAAAGCAACTCAAGATTAGATTAAACTTAGCCACCTTTTGCTTGGGTTTTTGTTCCATCCACCATTCTTCTTAAAACTTTTTCTTGTCAGTCCATATTCACTGCGTTACAAAAGTTTAAGATTCAAAAAAAAGTTGTAAGACTTTTTCTTACTCAAAATGGGAAGAGACTGCCGCATATTCGATGACGGTCACGGTGGTGGCCGCGGTGGAGCCTTCTCTTCCTCAAGGTCAAAGAAAACAGCAAATGGATGCATGGCTGCTTTTTTCCACTTATTTGATTTTCAACATTTTTACTTTCACTCTCATCATCACCTCACCATTGATTCTCCTTCAAGTTCTAAAGGTATATGTACTCTTTTTTTCTCAAACTGTTTAACTTGAATTTCGTAAACATTTTTGTAGGGTTTTGAGACATACTAAAGTGTTGTTGTTCTTGTGAAATTTTGCAGGCTTGAAGTTGATAGAAGAGACTCTGCCATCAACAACTTACAAAGACAAACAAAGTTTGAACATTCCAGTAAGTAAAAAATTTAAAAAATGGAATTTACTAATTTGTCTGATGTGTTTTGGTTGAGATAGTTTTCTGATAATGACCTTGAAATTGTAGGTAAGCATGAGAGTGAGAACAGAGACAGGGACAAAGAGTTCAAGACTCAGAGCTCTAGCGACTGATACTTCAACTTCTTCATCTGAAATCTGTAACTCACCAGGAAGCAAAACACCAAACTTGGTGGCTAGACTAATGGGTCTTGATCTTCTTCCTGACAAAACTGACCTAAACCATTCACTGTCAGATCTTCATACAATGTCAAGTCATCATATCACAAGCCATAGACTTTCCAAGAAAGGCACACGATCTTTACCGGTGAGCCCTAGAATCTCCTCTGCTCGGAAATCGGATTTCGACATTCATCGCCTCTCTCTTCAGCTAAACAAAGAGAAAGAGTTTGGATGTTCAAAGCTGAAACAAGATCAAGAGGAGAGTCAAGAGGAGATTCATAGTCCGAGAGATTACGCGAGGCAGATAGTTAAACAAATCAAAGAGAGAGTCGTCACAAGAAGAGTCGTCGGTATGGATATAACAAACTCGGTGAAGAACAGAGAAGCAAGACCATCACATGAGCTTAGAAGAGACACAACAGTTTCTTGTTCACCAAGAACTAGGTTTTCAGATAAAGAGAACAAACAAAGCACCAGTCACAAACCTAATTCCTCATCTTCTTCCAGACCAGAACCGATCGTTCAGAAGCCAAAGCCAACAACAGCAATTCTTGATTCAGTGTCAAAAGCCTCTGGAGAGAAACAGAGCAAGGACAGAGTAAAACAAAGGCAACTAAAACCAATCAACCTATGCAAGAAGGCAGAGAGTGAAACAAAACGTCCCATAAACCCTTCTCCTACATCAGATATTCGAAACAGGAAGCGAGAGGCTTTCTTGTCTGAATCGAGAGACGTGAAAGCCAAGCCTTTACACAAGAAGAAGTTCAAGAAAATACCAAAGTCAAATGATCTTGAAAACATCTCTGCCACAAGACCTCCTCATAAACAGGTACAATCTAATTCAAGTTTCTCTCTGTCTCTAACACACTAAATCCTCAACCTCTGATAATCCTCTTTTCGTGTTTTTTTTCAAGATTAACGAAAGAGATCGACTAATATCGAATGAAGTAGCATCGATTCGCTCTAGTTTGATGCACAAAATCGAGAAGACTAGTCCACAAGTAGCGAGGAATCAAAAATTAGACGATGCTGCCACTGGAATCGATTCTGAACAAGACTACATCACAAGAATATTGAATCTTGTGGGAATCAAGAATGACACATCAACAACAATGCTAGATCCTTCGATTTTCCACAAACTGGAGCAGTTTGGAGATTATCCATCAGGAAGATTGGTTTTGCGATGCAATCGGAGGCTACTGTTTGATCTAGTGAACGAGGTTCTGATTGAAAACGTGGCGAAAAAACGCGAAAACTATCCGGGACCGGAGCTAATCAGCGAGCTTTGTTCCGCTGTTCCGAGATATAGTAGTAAGTGTTGTCCCCTTCCTGAAGAGACTGCTTTAATGGACGTGAAACATCTTGTAGAGAAGAAGAAGCTTGAAGAGGAAGGAGAAGAGATCATTGCAGAGATTGAGCGGGAGATCATAGACAAGCTCGTGCGAGAAACTTGGTCTGAATTGAGTCTTAACCAGAGACTAAGCAAAACGACGTCGGTAGTGATATAATTTGTGGGCCTATAAGAATTAGAAATTTCTTATAGTTGGGCTTACGCTTTGCGAGTAATAAGTATTAGGATAGTTTCTTTATTGGGCCGCTTGTATTAATTCTGTAATTCCCACAGGCCATAGGTGTTTGTATAAAAAAAATATGAATGAATCATTATATTTTCTTAAACCAAAAAAAAAAAAAAAAACATGAATCGTTATATGTTGGTAAAAAACACCTTACCAAAAAAAGACATGGTAAAAAACATACCAGAAACTGTTATAACATATCATTTTTGGGTTGATAAACTGAAAATCCTCTATCGCAATTCATAACAAATTTTATTGTTTGTTTCTATATAGTAGCAAATTAGTAATTCTTTCCACACAAAGAACAGTTTTGAATATACTAGAATAAATAAAAATCGGTTTTACAAAACAAAAACAGAAATTTAAGAGCTTACATTATCTTACATCCACGGATAAAAGCATAGTTAGAAGTTAGAACTCTTACACATTACATTACTAAAAGAGAAGTGATTGAAACACTATTAACATAACAATAATTGAGATAGATAGCTAGAAAATGAGGTTTAACGACCAAGGACGATTTTTATGGTAATCCAATAAATAGATCAGTTTCCACATCCTCTTTCTCTTTGTTTCCCGACGGCATCCCCATTGGCCTTTCTCCAACCTGACATAAGAGTATACATTATTTTCTTAGTTTGGATACACAATTATGGTAAAAGAAAACTATATAATTAGGTAAATATCCACAAAACAAGACATTGTTGGTTAAAGCATAATACGCCATATTCCAATTTCCTCCGTACATGAGTTGAACTACTTTTGTTAATGAAAATGGGTTCAAGTTACAATGTTTATATCCATTTGTACGCATTTATGACTATATAAATATATGCACCCATATAGGTAATAGAAATTGGACCATATGGTACATACCCTTCGACAAAGCCTGACTCTCTCGTCCTTGAGTTCCCTCTCCTAATTTATAAAGAAGAGAGATCAATTATAAAAAAAAAAAAAACATGGCAAAGGACAAGAGATTCAAACAAAATCAAATTGTAATTATTCTAACCTTGGCTTTTAGTTTCTCTAGCTCATCTTCATATAACTTAGCCTACCAATAACAACCAATATAGAATCCAAAAGAAAACTAAGCAATCACACAATTTTGAAAGTAAAAATGAAATGTGTATATATTAATTTTCTGGTTAATGCATTTTGTATATGTTACCTTTCTTAATCTAACAATATGAAGGCTTTTCTCTACCTGTGTGGCTATCTCCTGAAGTTCTTTTACCGAACAAGAAGCCAAACTTTGTCCCATCATCTTCCTAAGAAAGCCACATTTTGTAAATTAACACACATCCTTTAATAACTACTTGAAAATAAACTCTTATCATTAACAATGTAGAAGAAAAATGACACTGATATACAAACCGGTTATGGACTTCAAGCACTTCAATCTTTTTCACCGTTGTCACCATTTCCTTCTTTAGCCCCTGTATACCCAAAATAGTTTCACAAAAATAAAGCCAAAATGTGACTCGATTTATTTTCAACTTAAGTTTGACATGATGCAAAAGGTTTGTAATGTTGGTTGATAATTGAGTTTTCAGTTAACGGTTATAAGTTTGTGTTGTTTCACTCAAAAGTCACAAGTAGGAAGAGACACAACTCTTCATATGTTGTGTCTATTTGTTTTCTATTTAAACTCATTGTATTATCATGTAAATAACAAGACGTTTCAATTTACTAAAAGTTTTCTATTTCGTTCTTGTCTTTTTCAAAAGAGAACAGATAATTTCTTATCTCTTACTCTGTTTCTTCATCCTCTCAAAACACCAACATGTAAGGCATCGATGTAATTAATTAACTAGAAAGGAACCTGCACATATTGCTCTATAGGATGTGCTTCTGCAACAAAGTACTCCCTCTTGTACTCAGCGTATCGCTTGATCATATTCCTGATACTAAGACAATTCTCAAGAAAATCTTCATTAGTTTGTGAGGTTTATAGAAGAATATGTGAATACTCGCTCGCATGGTTAGTCATGTTATTCCATCAATGGCTCTTCATAATCACTACGGATATTATACTAGACAAGGTCTTATATATTTGTAGAGATAAACTAGACATTTGTTGGGTATATATATATATATATATATATATATATATATACATAATATGAGTGTCTGAATATACTAGAAATAAACCTAGGTAGATATGAATAAAAAGTATCCATGATTGATACATATATTGTTATGTTATGAAAATCATTCTCAAACGACCATATATATGCCGCCTACATAGTGTGTCGTCCGACCTTAACGAGTAGACCATGGGAAACATAAAATATATAACTTGGACTCTAAACATGAACAATATATATATGAACATACTTGAAGAAAGAATCATATACAAAAATTAGTTTGGGCGAAACACTAATCTATTCTCATATACACGACATGATGGATTTTGTTTACATATGTACTTAAATAAAAAGTATCCATGATTGATACATATATTGTTATGTTATGAAAATCATTCTCAAACGACCATATATATGCCGCCTACATAGTGTGTCGTCCGACCTTAACGAGTAGACCATGGGAAACATAAAATATATAACTTGGACTCTAAACATGAACAATATATATATGAACATACTTGAAGAAAGAATCATATACAAAAATTAGTTTGGACAAAACACTAATCTATTCTCATATATACACGAAAGAGGCATATTTTGGGCTAACAACTTCAACAAGCAAAATCTTACCTAGTTATCTCTAGTACTATTTGGTCAGAAAGATCTTAAACTACACAAGTACTAATTAGACAACAAATTCAACATCATGAAAAAATATTGAAATAGTATATCGATTGGAGTAATTAATCAAGCTGAAATTAAGAAATCTTACTCGGAGCTAGCGAATTCATATAATCTTCCTTTCTGAGAGAAGATCATTGCTGCGACTTGAGCATCACATAGAACAGAAAGCTCATGAGCCTTCTTAAAGAGACCACTCCTTCGTTTGGAAAACGTGACTTGTCTACTTGTTACGTTCTCGATCTTCTTGATCTCAATCTTTCCTCTCACCATTTCAATGAATTCCTACAAAACCAATCCAGATTTGCTTAGAAATTTATGGAAACCCTAACTAAATGTGAAAGATTTGCTGGCAGATCAGAGAAACAAAGTCACAAGCTAGAATTCAAAAGTCATAGCCCAGAAATGGTTTCTTGATTGAAACCAACCCAAAGTCATAGCCCAGAAATGATTTCTTGATTAATCAGTGTGAGAACTTTACCAAGAAAATACGGGAAAAATCTGAGAAGCAAGAGTAAACTCCTAAAATCCCTTTTAAGAGCTAGCTAGTTTTGTCGAGATTCGCTTTAAATATTCACTCAAGAAGACGAATTTGGATAGATAAGGAATAATTTACACAAGAAGGAAAAAAGAAACATAATTTGGTGGAAAGTAAAATCCTTAATTTTAACAGAGAAGATTTGTGTTTACCTCTCTTTAGGCTCTTAGCGAAGGAGCCACAAACCCTAAAGTCTAATCTGTTGTTAAACAAAAAGAAAGAATCTGCCTTCTTTCATTTGGTAACGTTTTTTTTTCCCATTAGCACACGTAGGGAAAAGTAAGTAAGGAAAAAATAGACAAAGAGTTTTCGTAAAACCGGACCGGCTGAATCGGTTCTAATTCATGTGGGTCAATAAATTTGTAGAAACTTTTTTTTTAACAATGACAAAATATAATTACATGATTTACATCCATTATATTATTATTACTAGATTTTAATCCGCTGTATACCGCGAGATAATTTATTTTTTAAATTTAGTATAAAAATATTTTGTAAATTGTATCTCCTTATAAAATATTTATTTATATTATAGTTGATAATTGTTATTAAGTAACAATATACCACGAGTCCACGAGACAATTGTTAATAAACTGAAGATTTAACCCGTATTAAAGCGGCATGTTAATGATATTTATAAATATTGATTCAAATTCGTCCGCCATATAAACCTGTTCCGAAATATAACTTGTTATGTAATTTCTTAACCCGTCCCTGATTTGTTTTTATTAAAAAAATTTAATGATTATTTACTATATATAAAAGTTTAGAAATCATAGCATTCTCTAAGTCATTTATATTTTAATAAACTGAAGATTTAATCTGTATTAAAGCGGCATCTTAATGATATTTTAAAATTTTATAAATATTGATTCAAACTCGTCCACCATATAACTTTGTTCCGAAATATAACCCGTTCTGTAACTTTTTAACCAGTCTCGTGATTTGTTTTCTAAAAGTAATAATTTTTAAAATTTAACGATTATTTATTATATATAAAAGTTTACAAATTGTATCATTTTCTATGATATTTATATTTTATAGTTTACAATTGTTATTAAGTAACATTATACCATGGGACAATTTTTGGGTTTATACAATCTTTTCTAAATGAGATTCATTTAATATTTATAATATTGGTGGTATTAAAATAAAATTAAGGATTTAATCCGTATTGAAGCGGCATATTAATGATATTTTAAACTTTTTATTATTGTTGATTCAAAAACTCGTTCCGCCAAAAAAACTCATTTATTTTATTAAACTTAATCGATGTAGAACGTTGAACACACATTTTCGTCAATTGGATAATATATGTCTGTTTTTAAAATTTCGAATCACTGTATATGCAGAAAAAAAATTGATTTTTTTTTTTACTTTATATATTAGATGATGATTTAAAACAGTTAAAAACAAATCAAACAAAGATGATAGGAGAATCATAATTCTAAATCTTAATCAAATCTTCTAAATATCTAAATTATTATGGAATATCCGGTGTATGAGTTGGATTAAATATAACTCGTCCCAACAAACTTTTTATGACCATAATTTATAAACGGGTAGGGTATCCAAAGTATCCGAAAAAAATTTTACCCACCCGATTCAAAGGTGACTGCAAAATACTAGTATAGATGATAGTAATTTTGGATTAAAGTTCTCAATAATCTAACTACGAGCGATGTCATTACTAATTATTTTTAAAAAGGGTACAAATTATTTGTTATTTTTAGATTTATCTCTAAGCATATTTCTCTTTTCCAATTTTTGTTTTCTGATTTTATAAAATTCAGTCAATTTCAAATTCAATTTTAAAAGTTTTATTAATTTGAGCAATCTGTTTCGAAAGACTATGGAGCAAGCTGTCTGTTTGGTTGAATAATTATAGCCCTAAATCAAAAGACTTAGTATTAGATTTTGTTTTGGCCAAAGGTTGATTTTCATATTTCAATCATCATCAATGGGAAATGTAAAGGGAAAATGGACAACGTCTTCGATTGGTGCGTCGATATCATCAAATAGTTGACGTAAATCGATAAGCAATCAAATATATCCACGTGTATTATCCACTTTCCCACAAAAATCTTAGACTAAGATTTGTTTTCTAACTGATGAAAAAAAAAAAAAAGATTAGTTTTCTAACTATTCGTCTTGTTTAGTTTTGAGTTTTGACTAATTAGCTTCTTGAGAACTAAAATGTTCAATTACGGAATTGTATGAGGCTATGAGCTATAAGACGACACCAGATTAGACACATTTGCATTAGAAACAAAATGCTACACTTACTCCAAAAGATAAACTAAAATGACAGCTTGTACTTGTCAAATTATTTCCAGTTTATACACATATATTAAGAGATCGCCAGAGCACTCAGAAAACAATAAACTATATGGAAGCATTATATTGTACAAACATGGAACCGAAGTAAATATGTTATAGCCGAGTCACGGGCAATCCAATAAATAGGTCGGTTTCAACCTCTGATGAATGTTTGGTACTGCAACCACCTTCAGTTTTACCCTTATCACAGATTTGTAAAGTTGGTTGTACCACCGGTCGCATCAACATTTCTCTAATTTGCTGAAAATATAAATTAATAAGTTATTTTTCGTAATATGTATATAAAGAGAGAGGGATATAGCTCAGAGACATATATATCCATAGACCTATTATTACCTATATTTTCATTTTGATATATAAGAAATTTACTTTGTTAATTCAACCAAACCAATGTAACTCGAGGAGAGTTAGATATTAAAAAGCGACTCATAGAGGAATAATATTCCCTAACATATCTTTAGAGCAACTGATGCAAGTACTAAAATTAAAGGACAGCATGGAAAATTAAGGAAACACAAGCTCTTAACGAAACAAAATTTCCATGTTTGCGTTTACATGGAAAAATAAATTGGGGTTTTCACATTTTTGAAATAGAAAACATTTTCAATTTTCAAATTTGCAAAATGAAAACGAAAACGCCAAACACAAACGTGATTCCATTTGCGTTTACAATAAACAAATATTTTTTTTTTTAAAATGTTTAATTATGGTTATGAGACTAATTTGGCCAAAAAAGGCAAAAACATGGTAAATGTTTTTTTTTTTTTGGTGAGCAAAACATGGTAAATGTAAACGTAGATGCATGCAAACACAAACAAACAAAGCCTCAATAGTTCTACAATTGATCGGCTCTTCAATAAACCATGATTCTTCTTATAAGAAGAAGTCTTAGAAATGGAATGAAATATATATCTAAGCTTCTACATACCTAAACGAAGAGCTATATTTAACTAAAATTTATGTGTGTCTTATGTGTATCCTATGATGAGTGTGCTCGTATTTACCTCTTCACGCAGCCTTTTTCTCTCGTTCAAGAGCTCCCTCTCCTAGAATCCGAGCAAGAAAGATCGATTAAAATTACATGGAGATTATACAACCGATCCCATAAGTTAGAATTTGTATATAAGTTACTCAGATAAAAAAATTACCTTTTCTTTTAGCTTTTTCAGTTGATCTGCATATAACTCAGCCTACGCACCAAGATCAACCAATGAAGACATTATTACATCATTAACATGTGTGTATATATTAATCTATGTGTGTGTGTGTGTCTGAGTGTTTAATTTGTACCTTTCTGGACCTGACAATACGAAGGCTTTTCTCAATTTGAGTGTCTATCTCTTGAAGTTCTGTCACTGAACACGAATCCAAACCTTGCCCCAACAGCTTACTTCATATATAGTGGCATTCAAGAGATAACAAATTTTAGGACTGAAACAAAACTATAGTATATATATATACAATGGATAGAGTAACCATAGGATTAGTGAAATGTGAACCGGTGATGAACTTCAAGAAGATCAATCTTCTTCACCATTCTATTCATTTCCATCTTCAGCTCCTATACAACCCCCAAAAAATAGTCAATACTATCATCTAAATACATTTCGAGTCTATAACATAATGTACATATCAAAAACTTTAAAATAAATGAAGAAACTAAGATAAAGAATAGGTATGGATATAGAGAACCTGCAAGTATCGTTCTATTTGGGGCCTCTCTGCCACATACAAGGCATTAGTAAACTTGTCATATCTTTCTATAATCTTCTCCATCCTGAAAAGTTAATTCAAAAGAGATGCTTTCTTTATCAGTGATGCATGATGATGACATTCATGAGATTGATATATTATGTGTGAATATCCTTAAAATATATAAATACATGTTATGATCATTTAATACGGAAGTCCATGATTATCAACCAAGATTTTGGTAAAATTTGATATCTAATTTAGATAACATTATTCTATATAATCAAATTCGTTTTTGCAATCACCAAACCCAATGGAGAATTGGTTTGCTGCACAAAATTTGTCAAGCATGAAATGCAAAATGAAACAAAAGGGAACTATGCAAAATCATGAATCTCCTACTCTGTAAAAACTGTACACTATTTTTTTAGACAATTTGACCTTGACCAAAAGAAAACAAAAAGGATAACATGAACTATGTATCGACTTTTTGTTGGCTCCTATAATGAATATTCATCATGATTGAAAATCTAGTGACAAAGTTTGGATCCCCGAGAGATTTAAATTTTCTTCTCATGCATAATATATAAAACTTTCTGTACTTACATGTAACTACATTTTCGGATAGTCATTTCTTGTTGGATATTCTAAAAAAAACCATATGCCAAGTGGGTGTGTGGGTAAACAGTTTAAGTTCCAAGGTATACGAGGTTCACTGTTCAAGAAACCTCTTTTTCTGATAACCCTAATAAAATCCACTTGCTCGTGCTTGAAGAACAACTCTCTTAGTCAAACTTTCTAAGTTTGCTTAAATAAAATCAAGAAGTACTTACAAAAATTAAATTAGAATGTGACAAGACATTTCGTTGGGCAAATTCAGGAACTAGCTAGCACCAACAAAGAAAAAAGGGGTACAAATCTTTAACGTGTATATTGCAAAATCTCTAGTACGATTTCTCCAGAGAAATAGAACTATTCACTACAGTTCACTACAGAAGTTCTAAACACTCAATAAATCTAGGCGTAGAGAAGATTTTAAAAATAGACATGTGTAAAATATTTTGAAATAATTAGATGAAAGAATATCTTACTCGGAGCTAGAGTATTCGTGTAATCTTCCACTCTGAGAGAAGACAATGGCGGCGACTTGAGCATCGCATAGAACCGAAAGCTCATGAGCCTTCTTAAAGAGACCGCTCCTTCGCTTCGAAAACGTGACTTGTCTGCTCGTCACGTTCTCAATCTTCTTGATCTCAATCTTCCCTCTCACCATTGTTCCTACGATTTTCATTCCAAGATTCATCAGATTTGAAACCCTAACTAAATCCGAAAGGAAATTTCATTCAGACCAAACCAATAAATGATTTCTTGAAAAACGAGAAGGAGATTCAAAGCCAGAAGTCAAAGGTGATAAACTTGAAAAATGTTGGAAACTGAGGAGATCCAAAACCAGATTTGTCTAGATTCACTTCAAAATTAAAGCTCCATAGAACATAATTTTTTCCAGACAAAAATCAGCCGACAAAGTTAGAGAGGGATATAATTTGCAAATCTAAAAAAAAAAAAGAAGAAGAATGAAAGGAACAAAAGCTTAATAATGGCGGAAAGTAAAACCCTAAATCTAAATTTCAGAGAGAGGCATGAGCTAGATCTTATGATGATATACTCTTGTGTTTACCTCTGTGCCTCTTTGTACAGGAGCCACAAACCCTAAGTCTAAGCTTTAATTTGCTTTTTGTGTTCTGATTAATTGGACCGAGAAAAGGAAAAAGAAGAAAGAGATTTTTATTTTCTTCTTCTGGTGATGCTAGTTGGATAAATAATTGAACCATAGAGAGAATAATTCAAAACAACAAAAGAAAAAACAAGCTTCGGATTAAAGAAATGTCCATGACTTTATCTGTTTTTGGTAAAATTAAGAATCGAGAGTAGAAGGAAAAACAGGTGATTAACTAAAAAAGAAACGTTTTTTAAAATATAATCAAGGACTAATTTCTACGAAACCGGTGCTTATTTGTTTTTTTATTTGGACAAAACAGAAAGAGTGGGTGGAATAATAATAATAATAATACATCTAAAAGAATAGTGATCTTCGATTGGCGTGTCGACATCATCGTACACTGACGTGCATTGTTAACCAAATATATTAAGACACGTATGTTTTCCACTTTCCCCGAAATCACAGTCAGCTTCTGTGTAATGTGACCTCGTCTTCATCAGACAGTAATATTCCTCTTTTTGGTTTACAAAAAAAAAAAAAAAAAAAAAAAAAAAGTAATATTCCTCTTTTCTGTTGAAAGAAAAATGATAAGATTATATATATGTGTCTAAATAAGCAAAAGTGGAATAAAGTAACTCACCATTATGTCCTAAATCTCAGTCATCATAAGAAAATATGAATTCTTCTTTCTTCCTTTTTTTTTTTTGGGGTCATGGAGACTCGATCAACATTGTATAGTTTAATGATTTGTGTTAGTGTTGTCATTATGCATGTACTCGAATATATATTCGACATAATGTAAATTATTGACGACAAAAATAATCAAAAATGTAACACATGAATGATTTTATCCAAAAAAACACATTATGAATGCTCTAAGAGAGCCATATAACCTCATTCATAATTCTGGATTTGGATAGTAATGGTAAATTAATATTTTTATACATTTGATTTAGAACAGTACTCTTTTAGACTTTTACGGAATAGATAACAATTTGTAATTTATTGTCCACCATCATATATATTTGTTGTAGACATTACCTTTTGTTATCTACATTATTGCAAAACAAAACTAATGAACCAAAAATCATATACTATAATACAAAAGTCATGTTCTTTTTGTTTTTGCTAAGCCAAAAGGCCCAAAACTAACGCTTTAACTTTTGCAGTCATATGAAGTCAAACATGATCCTTAAAAGAAACACTTGTAGTAGTTGGGTCATATATACTTTTATTGGGCTTCAATATACAGGCTTGGGCTTCATCAAATAATTGAGTCTCCAGAAAATGATATTTCTGTCAAAATATATATTTGATCATTTTGAGTAAACTAAAGAAAATTAACAAATTTAAATTCCTTGAATCTAATAGTAAATCCTCCCCAGAAGAAACCCAGAAACGCGAAGACGATGGGAGACAAAGGAGAATCAATAAAATGGCCGAAGATCAAACTCAAATCGAATCTCAATGTCTCTTATCTCAAGAATCATGATCTCTTCACCGTAAGTTCCTCCCAAAATCATCAACCCATTTCATTATTTTCCCCAATTTTAGTGTAACCTAATCGGTGTTTAGCGTTTATAATATCTCCTGAAAAAAATCCTCAATAAATGTTCATCGATTTCTATGATCGGATTCTTGTAATTAACATATTATTGAAATCAAATTTATGAGCTTTCGCTTTTTTCGAATCTATATATGTTAAAGCCATGAACTTTATGTTGCTTATGGTTTCAGGTGGAGAACTGTCTCAGTTCTGATGAATCAAAGGGTTTTGTTAAAATTGCAGAGTCTCTTGGTTTCACTCACCAAGGAAGTCGTGGACCAGCCTATGGTGAAGCTTTTAGGGATAACCATCGGATCTCAGTGAACGATCCTGTCCTTGCTGATACTATATGGCAATCAGGTCTTTCTGATTTGTTTACTGATATCAAGATTAGGAGGAAGGTTGCTGTTGGCTTGAATCCTAACATTAGATTTTACAGGTCCCAACATTTTCCAAGTTTCATTCTTTGTTTCATGAGAGTGGTTAAATTGTGGAAAGATGTGCAAAAATTATTATGTTCTTGTCCTGTTTCTCCATTGGCAGTCTATGGATGTGCAAAGTTTCATTCTTTGTTTCCTGGTAATGGTTAAACTAGGGGAAGATGTGTAAAGAATATGTTCTTGTCCTGTTTCTTCATTGGCAATCTATGGATGTGTTCCTTATGCTGCTACATTGACAAAAGAATACAACTTTGTAGATTTCTTGCAAAAGTTTGTGTCACCATGTGAAGATACATGATCCTTTGTTAATTTCATATTCAGGTATAGTGCTGGTCAGCATTTTGGTCGTCACATCGATGAAAGTGCTGATCTTGAAGATGGAAAGCGGACCTATTACACATTGTTGATATATCTAAGCGGGAACGGCACGAAATCAAAATCCAAGAGCAGTTCAAGCAAGACGAATGATTCTTCTTCAGCTGAGCCTTTAGTAGGTGGCGAAACTGTCTTTTATGGTTCAAGGAACAGTATCGTAGCTGAGGTCATTAACTTTCAAATAGTTTTTTCGTCTTAATTTCATATTTTATTGATTGATATATCATCAACTAAAACTTGCTTATTACCGCAGGTAGCTCCAGTAGAAGGTATGGCTCTCTTTCACATCCATGGAGACAAGTGCATGTTGCACGAAGGAAGGAATGTCTCCAAAGGCGTCAAGTATGTGTTCCGTTCTGATGTTGTTTTTGCATGAAGAACACTGATCCAACATCTCTGTATTTTGTGTTTCTCACATTAATTAACTTCATACAACATTATGAACCATCGATTAAGCTTGTGTAGATCGCTGTTTACCTGAATCAAGCCCCCAAGTTATAACAAGCCATGAGTCATGGACTCATTTTTCTAAGTTTGTTTCATGTTAAATGACTCAGATTTGGTGACCAGTAAGTGAAATTTCGGATGAATATAAAGAGGTAAGTTCACTGAAGCAGAACACATTTACTTTTAAAGCATACTCTGCAACTCATAGAGAATTAGAAGGTTTAATAACCGATCCATAAATTGGCCGGTCTACATTATTATAATATATCAAGTATAAATGAAATCAAATTTGAAGAAAAGAATACTCTCATTTGGTTGCTTCTTAGGGTTATGCTTTTAGTTGACGAAGCGAGTGTTAACTCTCACTTGTCCGGTCTCCTTGACTCCAAAGTTTCCAAGTTTTACCATGGAAGCTGCAAACTCTCTGAAGAAAGCTTTTTGGTCTCGAGCAAACGTCTCAACGATCCACTTAGTCCGAGAATCGCCTAGAAGGGCCTGATCAGACCCAAACACTCCTTTCCCGGACAAAATCTGCTTGTAGTAAACATTGTCGAAAACCGAGGACGTAGAGTCCAAGACTGTCCCTGCGTTCTTGCCTCGGTTAGATGATCTCGGACATTTCCTTTTCAGGGTTTGTGCGAACTCATAGTTCATCGAAGGATCAATGTCGTGCAATTTGCTAAAGTTTTGAAGACGGGACTCGAAAGAAGAACAGTGAGAGAACCCTATGGTGTGGCCACCTGAGAGTGTAACCATGTCTTTCACCGACAATCCTCTTGCTGCAAAGCTTTGGATCAGTTGAGAAACATTAAACGTTGGTGCTGGGAGATTTCTAGTCTCGTTGGCTCGCGAAATTGTCCCGTCTTTTCGCCCTTTCAGTACGCTCCAATAAGGACCACCGGACTAATAAATGAAAAACATTACAAGAGGCATGGACAAATAAATCAAATAGAACAAAATTCAAACCAAAACGTTAAGACCGTAATCGAATCATATTACACAAATATAATATAGATTGGTCATAAAATATTTAAATTCTTGATTAGATTGCTTTTAAATGAACACAAAATGTAATTTAAGTGGTCTCTGTTTGGTTTTTAGTTTATAGGGATCATAAAGGGACCACTCTATTACGAATACTCACCAGGGTGACCACATCTCTGGCTGCAATGGCGATTACATCGGCACAAGACACGGTACGAGGACAAGCCTTTTCGAGCTTTCTCTTAGCATCTTCGATCACGTAAAATGACCGTACCGAGATGTTAGGAGGACCATCCTTCTCAGCTTGGTTTGACCATGTCGAATCAAGTAGAATGGACGCATCACATCCCTACAACAACACAAACCAAATAATTTACTCAAAATTCAACTTCATATCTAACTGGATAATCAATTAGCGACGATCAAAGAAAGAAGATCAAGATGCATACCCTGATGAAGCAATCGTGGAAGAACATTCTGAGGAGACGAGCAGGCACTTTGGGATCATACAAAGTAGCATTCCTAACAGTTTCAAGTATGATTTTTTCAGCAGCGGGGCACGATCGATCATAGTAATGAGCATCAAGGGCAGCTTCTGAGGGCCTAACTATCGCCAAAACCACAATGGTCATCGCGAAAATGAGTACTTTCGAGAATGCCATTTTATGGTTTTTTGTTTTTGTTTTGGGCCTCGAAAAGCACTCTTTTGGTCTTGAAGTTGTTTGAGGATTTGATGGTGAAGAAGAAGCGGGACAATTTGGCTTTTATAAGGAGAGAAATGAGAGGCTAATATTCTAGAAAATGTGTATGTGTATAGTATAACATATGCTTTAAAGTTACTCAAATTATGTGGAACAAACATACATATATTCCGGTATTCAAATTATTTTCTCCTTGAAATCGTACTTTGAGTCTAAGCATGTACTTTGGTGAAACTTAGAATATATGCAGCAGAGCTGGACAGAATCTCTTTTTTGTAACCATAAAAAAAGTGTATGCATTTGTGATTTGACCATGAATATATCTATCTATTATAACGTTTTAATTAAGGTTTTTTTTTAATAAAAGAAATGGATGTTCTTGTATTTAAAATTTATTCTACTTTTTTTAGATATATTAAGGAACCTATAATTAAGCTTAAAATAAATTTCT